AAGAAAGAAAGAAAGAAAGAAAGAAAGAAAGAAAGAAAGAAAGAAAGAAAGAAAGAAAGAAAAAGAAAAGAAAAGAAAAAAAGAAAATGCTCTCCTCCCTGGGTCTCCACTCTGCTTTGCTGGCTGCTTGAGATGAACAGCCTGTTCTCCCACACACTCACACCACCATAGTGGTCAGCCTCACTGAACTCCCAAAGTAATGGAGCCAGCCAACCTCTAAAACTGTGAACCAAATAGTCCTTCTGCTTTTCAAGGTCTTTCTCTCAGATGGGTTGTCATGGCCATGAGAAAGACTAGCATACCATGTGCATGAAAACCGGATTCCAAAGTAAGCCTCCACAAGATAGTAGCTCTCTTTTCCAAACCTCCCGTGGTTGGAATGTTTCTCATTCTGTGAGTGGAATGCATATTCGCAGACAAGCAGGCAGTAAGCATCTCAGGTGGGCACACACTGTTGTCTGGAAAACAGTGGGACAGCTTGAAGATGCACATACCCACACCCAGTGTCTTTAGTGTGCAGGTCCTGTGAGCAGAAGGCGGGTTATAGGCTGTGCTGGGGATCAAGGAGAAGCCCGCTCGCCACTCGGTGTGGCACTGTTAACGCTCTTGTCTCTCTCTCCCTCTCTCTGTGGTCCTCAAATGAGTTCATCTCTCCCAGCCTTTCCGCTCTTGTCACTCGACATTGTTTCCTTCTTTAAAATACCTTCTGTTTATCCTTTGGCAATATCACACATGAATGCATTGTATTTTGATCATACCCACCCTCAGCTCACGCCTCCCACTGACCTCCACACCCCGACACATCCTTTCATGACGTCTCTCTTTCCTTTTCTCTCTCCTTTCTTTATAACTCACTGAGGGTGCTCTGTCTGTCTGTCTGTCTGTCGTCTGTCTCTCCTCTCCTCCCCTCTGCCATCTCCACTCTCCCCTCTTTGTACCCACTGAACCCAGTGCTTCCTGCCGGAATGTTGACATATTTGTTGGTCTTGTCTATGCAGTAACCATAGCGGCAGTAAGTTAATGAATGCCATGGCCATGTCACGTGCAGATGGCAGCATTCCATAGCATGCCTTCCCATCGTCCAGCTCTTAACATTCTTTCTGCTCCTTCTCCTGGGATCAAACACTTTTCTTCACTCTCTTCAACTAAGTAACTTTTCTCTCGTCATATGCTTCAGTATGAGTTGCCTTCTAGAAACCTCTTTCAACTGGTGTTCCCATCCTGCCTCACATCCGTCCTTATTCTTTTACAGGTACACAGCGGTGGTCATGCCAGTTCACTATCAGCATGGCACCGGGCAGAGCTCCTGTCGGCGTGTGGCACTCATGATTACAGCTGTGTGGGTGTTGGCCTTTGCTGTGTCCTGCCCTCTGCTCTTTGGTTTCAACACAACAGGTAAAACTTCCTGAGCTCATGAGGGTCACGTCATACCCAAGTGGTTGTGAGTGGTATCCACCTCAGGATTCCCATCCCTATTCAGTGTAATCAAGTGGGGATGCTGTAGTCTGCAAAGGTTTGGCCTTTGTTGGGTATAGAGTAAGTATAGAGCAAAACCTCACCGATTATTGTCACGAACATATAGTTTTGGCCCACCTCATGAAAAGTCTGTCTCATCCCTATTTCAAAAGAAATGTCATTGCATTCATTGGAAGAAATGTAAATAAGACACAAAGCTATGTTAATAATTCAAGTGGGATTTGCTAATAAAATGATTAACTATTCATAACCAACCTACAATGCAAAGTAACATATCATAAAAGCCTGGAATAAATTATATGTTTCTAACTTTTTCTCCCATAAGAATCATTTCTGACATTTGAAAACTAATTCTGAAATATATATTTTTATTTTTTAAAATAATTGTGCTTAGCAATTAGCAAAATTGTGGCTATGATAGTTGGCATGTGGCTCATCTCCTGGATGGATGGATGGATGGATGGATGGATGGATGGATGGATGGATAATGATAATGTCTATATTTGAGATGATTTGTATTTTAACCATAAGACATCAATCCACATTTGCACCTCACATGATCTTTCTTTGGGGCTCAGGAAATCCATACGTTGAACGAAAACTATTGAAAATGTATGATGAGAGGACAGGGAAGGGAGAAGTGATATACTTATATTAGAATCTCAAAAATGAAAAAAAATGTTTAAAAAGAAAATGTATCATGAGAGGAAAAGGAAGGGGGAAATTCTGTAATTATAATCTCAAAATTAAAGAAACAATTTTTTAAAATTAAAAAGAAAATGTATAATGAAGGAGCATGTCTGCTAAGAAAAAAACCTGAATGAGCAGTGTTCCAGAATCATGTAGAATTCTTATTTTGTCCATCTGAATGGTCTCATTCAATTCCTGCTAGATTCCAGACTTGTGAGTTCCTGATCTATATGGACTTACGAGTCACAAAGCCATATGTTTATGTACACTCAAATATTATTGAGACGATGCCATATATAAATCCAGGAAAATTCCAGCATATAAACAATCTTCCAGGCATCATGTCATGGACAAGGATTTTAGAAGTCAGAATACGCTGAGGAAGGCAGACAGAGGCTGTGCAATCAGAAAACCCTAGGTGAACTCCAGCTGCCCTGTCTACCAGCTGTGCCTCCTTGAACAAGCTTCCCGACCTTGCTGAGCTCAACTTCCTCGCGGATGAATTCAAGACAGTAATAGAGTGGTGCATAGAGGAACAACTTCAAATGTATATTCAGTTAGCATATCTAGTTACAAAGTTTTCTATATTTACTTTTTATAAATGGCTCCCTACATTTAAAAAAAGCCCAAAGATTTCATCTCTGAAGCTACATGTTCATGTGAGCTTTATAATATCTGACATAGTAACATATGTATCCTTTTTCTTATTCCTGTTCAGAGTTATAACAAAACTGCATGTATCTTTTATACGTGCTGTAGGAGATTTTTTTCAAGGCAAATTTTAGAGCATAGTAGAAATTGAATGAAGCAATTCAAATGGACAAAATAAGAAATCTAGACTTAATTATGTTTAGTAGATAATTTTTTAATTTTATGTATGTGAGTGTTTTGCCTGCCTATATGCCTGGTCTTTGAACCGTGTATGTGCCTAATGCCCACAGAGGCTATAAGAGGGCACAGGACACCCTGGAACTGGAGTTAAAGACAGTTGTGAGGACCATGTGGGCTGTGGGAAAGGAATCGAGTTCCTCGGGAGGAGCTGAACCGTCTCTCCAGCCCACAGATACTTCTTACCGTGTACATTTAATGCTAGGCTCTTATCCTACATGTTACGTAACACCCTTATAGAGGCCTCTGTATTCAACAGGAATTAAGTTGAGATAAGATGTATAGATGTGTCAAACACATACTACCTTCTCAGGGTCAGTCTTCTTTCTCCAATACACTAAAAGTTAAGAAACCAAGCTATCAACAAACAAACTCTCCCAGTTGACACAGAATGTTCATAACAATTGGTCTGTGAGGTAGTTAGTTTGAATGTAATTGGCCCCCATAATCTCATAAGGAAGTGGCATTATTAGGAGGTGTGCCTTTGTTGAAGTAGGTATGGCCTTGTTGGAGGAAGTGTGTCACTGTAGGGGTGGGCTTTGAGGTCTCTTTTGCTCAAGCTTTGCTCAGTGTGACCCTCAGACCATTTCCTGTTGCCTGCAAGACATAGGACTCTCAGCTACATGGTGGTGGGGAACCAGAACCATCTCTGCCTGCTTGCTATCATGCTCCCCACCATGATGATAATGGACTGAACCTCTGAACTGTAAGCCAGCCACCTCAATTAAATGTTTTCCATCATAAGTGTTGCCGTGGTCATGGTGTCTCTTCACATAGAAACACTAACTAAGACAGTCTACTACCATCTTATTCTTCATTACTCATTACTTTGATTTTGTTTTATTTTGTTTTGTTTGTTTGCTTTTGTTTTGTTTTTAACAAAATGACATTTTATACCCCGGAGCACATGTACACACCACAAAGCATGGTCCATTGAAATGGTTATGGGAACTACATGAAGGCAAAATGTCTTTTGTGGTCAGTGTTAAATGGGTTAGTCAGATAGCCAAATCACTGCCCTACCTTGTTTCCGTGTGCAAATGCCCTGTGTGTGGGACTCTCATATGGGAAGTGTGTACCACTGCTTGACCTAGGCACTGCTTATCTGCTGGCCCCCAGCACTTGTCACCCTTTGCTGGAATGAGTGCAGTTCCTCAGGCTGAGCCCGGTTCCCTTACATATTCTGGGATGCTGGTGGAGGAGGTCCTATTCCTTCTTACAGGCGCGCACACACACACACACACACACACACATCCTGAGAATAGCTGAAACCGTCCCCAGATCTGACAGTAGACAGAGTTCCCAGCTAATGTCACCGTGGCAAGGGAAGGATGATGAGCTAATTGCAGCGTGTTGGCACCAATGACTTCATTATTGTTCTAGAAACAAAACCCAGGAAAATCGTCCCAGGATTTTCAAATTGAGAATAAAAAAAAAGACTTGTGACCTGGTGTGTGTGGTGTAAGGCCCGCTGCTTCTCCCGGGGTCTCTGGGCTTTATGTTTTTATGTGCTTGATGGTTGGTTTGGTTTACATTTGGAGGTCATTTTGTTTGTCCTTGCTTTTGAGACAGCAGCTCACGAAGTTGCCCAGGAAGGCCTTGAATTTATAATCCATCTGCCTTAGCCTCCTGAGCAGCTAAGATTATATGCTTCTGCCACCAAGTCAGGCTTCCTCTTATGTTTAAGTTTCTTAGCAACACTGTACTAAACCCTCCAATTATTCTCATATTGTGTCAAATGCAAGGTCCATTATAAGGGCCAGTAGGTATTAGCTGGTGTCAGTGTTAGGATTATGTAACAGAAAGTTTTCTGTGCCTTACCCTGCAACTAAACAGCTGCTCCAAGGAAGATATAAACAATGGTGATTCTCTGGTGGTCACAGCAAAGACCAGCTGCCCCTTCCTAGAACACAGTTCAGGGATTTCATGAGCAGAGCTCAAGCATAAAGAATCCAGCCTTAGCCGGGCGGTAGTGGCGCATGCCTTTAATCCCAGCACTCAGGAGGCAGAGCCAGGCAGATCTCTGTGAGTTCGAGGCCAGCCTGGGCTAACAAGTGAGCTCCAGGAAAGGTGCAAAGCTACACAGGGAAACCCTGTCTCAAAAAACAAAACAAACAAACAAACAAACAAACAAAAAAGAATCCAGCCTTGGTCTCTGACACAATCTGACCCTCATGATGTACCTTCCTTATCCTGACAGAAGTAGCCTGTCTTGGTCAGTGTTCTACTGCTGTGAGGAGACACCATGACCATGGCAACTATTCTAAAAGGAAGCATTTAACTGGGGCTGCCTTACAATTTCAGAGCTTTAGTCCATTATCACCGTGGCAGGAAGCTCAGCACCAGGCAGGTGTGGTGCTGGAGAAGTAGCTGAGCGCCACATCCTGGTCTACAGGCAGGGAGTAAGACACTGGGTCTAGCATGGGCATTGGAAACCTCAAAGCCCACCCCCAGGGACTCCTCACTCCCTCCAACAAGGCCACCCCTCCTAATCTTTTCAAATAGTACCACTTCCGGGTAACCAAGCATTCAAGTATGAGCCTATGGTGGTCTTTCTCACTCAAACCAACAGGGCCCCTCCAGCAACTTCCCCATGGACAAGTTCATTCAATAGCCCAATACAAATGACTCTTTTCTACTCCTTCTCTGACAAGTAGAGGTGGAAAGGGCCTCCGGTGTTGCCAATTCCACCTGATTTGGAGCATAACGTGACTTCAAGAAATGTAACAAGAGCTTTTCATTTGAGGCTATGGCCTGCCACTTGTGATACTGAAGTAAAGACCACGGAGGCAAGCCGAACTTCAGCCGCTTTGAACTTAGAGTTCTGTATGTTGCTTCTGCTCTTTGGAAAAGGGCAGCAGGAGGCAGAATCTTGGACGGGAGAGAGTTCCAGAGCTGTAGGGCCTGGCTGAATGGTATTGCCCCAGCTCCACCAGGGGCCCAGAAGTTCAGTCAACCATCAAATCAACAGCCTCTAATGATGCAGAGGAAGATGTATGCTGGAGCAAGAGGGCAACTCTGAAGATCTCCGAAAGAGCTCAAGTCCTTTCTTTTCACAGATAAGAAAAAAAAAGTATTTGAATTTCTGTTAAATCAGACACCATTGTGTGGTTTTTAAAAGAGAGGACTAGAATGAATAAGCAGTAGCTGGTGATCAGGTTTAGGAATTCTTCTGGGTAGGGGGACTTAAAGTTAAGAAAATCTTATCGACTGGATGGATTTTCCTTTAGGAAAAAGAAAATGGTTATTTATTTGATTTCAGCAATGGAAATGTCATCCAGCTCTCAGAACACTGGAGACGGGGAACGTGGCTGCTCAAAAGTTAAAAAGAAGAATAAAAGCACACTGTTTGAAGGGTAGTGACTCATCCTAAGTCAGACTCATCAGCATCTGCTGTCTTTGGAATTGAAGTGAGGTCAAATGCTTCAACAAGTCTAAAGTTCATCAGTCTTTCACGTCAACCTTCCCTCAACTTTGCTGTTCACATCACTATGGAGCTCAAGTTCTCCGCCTAACTCACAGAAACCTCCAAGGCCCTTCTTGTTTCAGCTATTTGTCGTCTCTTCTTTCTTCTTTGTGTGTGTGTGAGCTGTGTGTTTGTGTGTGGTGTAGTGTGTGTGTGGTATGTGTATATGTGGCGTGTGTGGTGTGTGTGATGTGGTGTGTATGTGTGGTGTGTGTATATGTGTATGTGTGGTGTGTGTAGTGTGTGTGTGTAGTGTGGTGTGTGTGTGTGGTATGTGTATGTGTGGTGTGGTGTGGTGTGTGTGTGGTGTGTGTGTGTGGT